ATGGCACTCCAAATAACATATGCGTTGTACAGTTAAACAAACACGCACTTCATAAACCTTTTACTCCATTGATCAAACCAATGCCTCAAAGTTTCAATCAAAAGCCTCAGCTTCTATCCCAGATACTTAGGTTTTGAGAAACAACCAGTAATCTCGAACAAGCGTAAAAATAATGTAATAGTCAATTGAAATACTGTGGATTCAATTTCTTCTGAGAAATACGAGCGAAAACCCTAATTCCATATTTTTCGTTAAAGAAAAGTCTGCTTGATCAATTCCTGAGCCAATCTCAACCTAATCAGTGGAAACCCTAATTTTGGACTTGTTGTCAAAGAAAAGTCTGTTTGATCAATTCCTGAGCCAATCTCAACAAAATCAATGGAAACCCTAATTCTGGATTTACTGATAAAGAAAATCCTTTTTGACCGATTCTTGAGCCAATCTTGAAAAGTCAGGGAAAACCCTGAAGTTGTGATTTCTTGTGAAAAAGGGAGGGCAAATTTTGGGGTACAACAGATTACTTTAGCGTCCAGTTCAACAATGGATAGAGACGTCGAACTAAGATTTGGGGAAGCAATTATGGTGTGCCGGAGAAGGTGAAACTTCCTAAAGGCCGCCATTGGATCTTGTTTCTTCAACACTTCAATCTCGTTCTAGGTGGCAAAGTCGAAAAATGGAGTATCATGCAAAATGTGGCATGTAGGTTTGATGAAAGTTGGATGACTGGACCTTGCAGTGTTGTCACCAATCGGAATGCTTCTAGTTGGATTCAGTTCGATGCCACATGCATGAGGTGGCCCCTGGGAGGATTTTGGTTAAGTTAACATAAGGAACAAAATTAGAAGCGGAGAGAGAAGAGAAAAAGAGGTACCTTTAAGTTGGATGACATAATGTTATGCCCTGGTGAGACTGAGTCTACAAAAAAGGAAGGTGTCATTTCATGCACCTTTTCAGAAGGAAAAGTTTGGTTCAAGTCGACCGATGAAGGGCATTCTTGTTCCTGTCAAGTTTCCAAAGCATTAAAGGAGTCGATAAGCCTTTGAAGAAATTTGAGTATGGAGAAGTACTTCTTTTGCTATTGAGGCCACCACTGATCAAACAATTGTTAGCAAGATGTCATGACATTATATTATGACAATCTGAGTGCTATAAATATTTCAAAAATTCCTATTCAACATAGCAGGACAAAGCACTTTGACATTCATCATCATTTTATCAGAGATCTTATTGAAGATAAGGTGATTACTCTGAAGCATATAGCCACTATGAAATAAATGGCTAATATTTTCACAAAAGCTTTGGATACAAATCTGTTTGAAAAGATCAGGGGTGAACTCAAAATATGCATTATTGAGGAGTTATAGCAATTACAAATTTGGAGGAGTGCAACTGATACTGCATTTTCCTCTATGGTCTGATGCTTAGGAAGCCTAAGCTAGTTACTATTAGATGGAACAAAGACTCTCAATAGAGGTCTGGTGACATTACCAAGGAGTACAGGAGGATCTTTGATAGGGGAAAGAGGTGGATGACCACCTGAAGTTGTTGAAGTTTGTGTGTTTCCATCTGCTATATGTGCTTCCATATGTGTTTTGTGATTTTGGGCTATGTGTGTTTCCATGTGTGCTTCCAATTCTGTTTACATTTATTCTACTTTTTGTCAATTTTTAGCTTAAAAGGAGGGAGTAAAGTGTTAGTGTGTTGTATGTGTCCTAATGTTATGGAACATGTCTTGACATGTTGATTAGCATGTTGATAGGACTGTGATACTTCTAAGGAGAGAGTACTTATTGTGGTTGCTTGTTGGATGCAACTATTTAGGGAAAGCATGATAGTATTTCATGCTTGGTTGGTACTGCTGCTGCTTCTTCTGGTGGAGTTTATGTGTAGGATATCTTACCAGATGTTCTGAAATCTTGCTTCCTGTATGGAAATCCTGATGTGAGGCTATTTTATCTTCTATTGTCGCTGCCTTTGATGTGTGAACTTGGGTAGTTTATATTGTTGCCTCTGATTTGTGAACTTGGGTATTTCATATTTGGTTTACTGGATTTTCAGGTGATTTGGGTTTTCCCTTTGAGGGGGAGTCTTCATCATGTATGACAGGAGGAGTATTGGACCTGGCTGATTTCTCTAGCTCTTGTGTTGTGGATGAGCTGTGTTGTATGATATTAGACCACATGTCTGAACATTTGTTCTTCTGAAGTTTTGAAGATGATGATCTGTAACTGCAGTGTTGTCTCTGATACATTTTATGGATGAAGTTTGTACAAATTTTACATGATTGCATGTAGCTTATGTTGTGGTTTTATTCCTCTCTTCAGGGTTTCTGTGCATTGATTGTTTTATCCAAAATTTGCCAAAGGGGATATTGTTAGTTCCATGGATCACAATTTATGTACTCTTGGATCACAATCTTGCCATTATAATAGAAGTTTATTTCAGTTTTAAAGTTTTCATCTTTACAAGTTTCTTTTTATCGCATTATTTATCATTATTGCTTTGTTTGTCAAATTTAATTACCATGCTATTTTTAATTACGGTTGCTATGTTTAATTCATTTTTAATTAATTCCATGTCTAGCTAAATTGTATAGAGTCCGGTGTAACACTACAAGTTACAGAGTCCCTGAGATACACATAAGCCACATTTTGGCCTCTCTCCTTTATTATATATATTTCTTTAATATTGTTTTAGTCTTGGTTTCCCCTTAATCAATCATTCATTAGCCTTAGCTTTACAAAGAGACAATAGATTACAGTAGGTTGACATTGGTCTCTATGGGTTCGATAATCTTTTATATTACTTCAATATTTCCTACACTTAGGGACGCATCAATTAGGTAAGAAGTTGCAAACTAGGGTTGGTTTAGCTTTGAAATAATATTATCATAATGAGTTTCCTTCTTGTCTTGGTAGCCTCCAGAGTAGGTAACAATTGATTGTGTTATTTAAATTTATGGAATTTATCTTTCAGCACAATCTCCAAATTTAGCAAGTTTTCTATCAATGGATGTTATAACATTTGTCCTGACATCGTGTTTTTGTTGAAACATCAGTTTTTTAACATTTATCTTGCAAGTGCCACAATTTCAAGGGTAATAGTGAGTAGGATGATGGTAATGAAGAATGAGTGACGCAAGTTAGTTTTGATGGAACCCACGGTGGATTCCACTGTACTGTTCAAAAGTACACGTGTGTATGTTCCTCTAGCAATGGTAGGGGAATTTAGATGTATATGTAGGTATATTACTTTATATGGTGGTTACGGCTTGTCCGCGGCGGTGAGAAGCCCTATACCGTGATGTCTATAGGACATGCTCACGTGAGGTGAAAGACTTTGTATCTGAGTTTGGTGTTTATGTATAAGCGTGTGAGTATGGTCTTTATGTGTGAATTGAGATCTGTCGTTTCTCCCCTTGGAGAGAAGTACTTATAGAGGCCTTTTGGGCCTAGGATTTCTGAAATCCTTATAGGCGACAACCGCTCTCTTATAACTAGGGGATTGTTGACCACATATTCTCTAGGGAATCATGTTGGACTCCTTCCCTTCTTACTAATGGGAGATAATAATATTTATATATGTCATCAATCCCCGGGATGAGCCCCTTTGTTTTATTTTGTGGGGATGTCGCCCAGACGACATCACCCTTGGGCGAAAACGCCAGAGTCACCCTTGTCTTATACCTTACAAATATACACTATAAAATGTATGGTTTAATTTATAATTTTTTTATTAAGATAACATAATTATAACACATAGTTTATTACATCAGTGTATTTAAAAACAAGGACAAAATTTACTGTATATAGTGAATACGAATGTGCATCCCCATAGCAATTTACGAAGACGCGTCTCCGAATCAATTTAAGACAAAATGAATGTGTCTCAGTTATGAATGCACGAGGTGTTTATAGAGTTAATACATAATTGAAGTTGTATAACCTACTACGTAGATACATCTCTAGATTAATTTTAGAAAATAATGAGTATAGCTCAATTAAGAATGCATGTTTAATGTAAATTGAGTGTATCTAAAAATGTTTTTCAAATTTACCGAGGTATTTTTAAATTTCCTTAGGGTGTTTCTCCACCATATAAAATGAAAGAAACAATCTTTAATTTTTAAAAATAAATGAGCCTCAAATAAGTAAGCCCCATAAATTAAAGGGCTTCAAACTGAATTAGAACAAAAACCCTAACTTTTTTTACTGTTTTTATTTCAATTTTTTTCTTAAAAAAACTTTTTTATTTTTTGTTGAATTATAATAGACCCAAATCAAAATATGGTACCAAAGAAGGGTTTAAACCCTCTCCCTTGGATAATGCAACGGTCAGTTTACCAAATAAGCTGTGTCTCTTATTGATTTTTTTTTTCAAGTTAAGTCGGTTGATTGATGAGTAAAATTAATTATTATATATATAACACAAGCTAAGCTATAAATTATATTTCTCTCTCACCCAAAGCTGTCAATATAAAAGATTACATTCACTTTTACACTTTTCACTTCAATTTTGATAAATATGGTTGCGGTGCTGATCGACGGAATGGCTAAAAGGAAGAAAGATCAAGATAATGACAATGACTCTTTGTCATCATATAATAATATTAAGAAAACATGTCGTGTTGTTTGGTCAGATGATCTTCATGCGAAGTTTGTTGAAGTTGTTAACCTACTCGGGTTACATGGTATGTATGTTTTCTACAAACCCTAACAGGATAGATATACTTGATGTTTCACTCCTTCAATTGTTTAATCCCTAATATATACAAGAATTTGTTTCTTGTTTGCAGATGATGTTCCCAAAAAAATAGTTGGTTTGATGAATGTTGATGGCATTACTAGCAAACATGTCGCAAGCCATCTCCAGATATACTTACATATTCTCTTTATCATTTTTGTTCTTGATAAATCTTGATGATTCTTGATGAACATTGTCCCATCTGCAGCATATGTATATTCTTTATCACGGTTCTTGATGAATCTTGAGGATTCCTGATGAATGTTCTTCACAAATCTCAATACATCTTGATCATTCTTGATGAAAATTCTCCGATCTGCATACATACCTCTAGTTTATTTCAACCTCTTCTTAACCAATCTACATCTCCACTTGGATTTGCAACATCGTTTGACTTCCACAATGCAGGGACATTTGTTGGAACTGCTTCTTCAAAAAGCACAAGCATTTGGGATTATGATTGGTATCATAAATACATGAAAAAGGAACCTCAGCTACTTCAGTTACCCAACAATTCTTTTCCGGTATTGGAGTCTGACAAAACAAGTCAAATGAACAATTCACAGCAGACACATAACGTTGTTGAGCCATTTATTGTTGGATCTGCTTCTTCTTTGACAGAAAAAAACACCAATATTTGGTGTGATGATAATAGTTTTATTGACTTTCCGGTTGAAGAAACAGATCCTAAGACTTTAGAGAATATTGCAAATATGAGCAGATGCATAGAAGAAGAGGATCTCATTAATGTTTGGAGGAGCTTCCAAGAAGAGGATGTCACTAATGTTATGCAGCAGCCTTCATGTTGTTAATATTAAGCATATGTTGGTTCTACTTGATTAATCAACAATTCTTTTAGTTTAGAGCACACATTAATTGTAACTATTATTTACAACCTATATATATTGCAACCACTTTTGAGTTGATTAGCATTTAGAACTTATTACAAATTTGTTTCTTGTTTTAGTATACAACTCTTGTTTATGAATTCTGATTATGTGAGATTGACAACTCTTGTTTATAAATGTATCCACGACCAACAACTTCACATGAAAAGATTTGTGCCCACACATAAGTGAAAAAGTGAGAGCATGAGTGATATGTCTGCCTAAATCAATTTTCTGTTATCTATCACCTTATGACAATTGTATTTTTTCGACGCCTCATCACAACTCCACCGAGTTCTATTTAATGGCTAAGCTATGCTAATTGATATTAAATTTTAATTAATTTATAAACTTTATATTAATAGACAAATTAGCATCATTTAGTTGTTTAGTTGATTTCGAAAAATAGAAACATAATTATTCGGTGAATAGTGAAATATAACTTTGATAGGTGGAGTAAGTTTTTACTTACATGTAAAATTAACATTTCAATGTCAAGTCATTAAAAGAAAAAAAAGTGTTAAGTCATTAAAAGAATAAAAAGTGATATGAGATTAAAATGAATTTAAATCATATTTTTTTTTCATGTGAGATCTTTTGTATATGAGAGTTAGTTGAAGCGGTGCAGTTCTAGATTAGATGTAGGTTTCTTTTTATTGGACATTTAACTGACACAAAACAATTGCCTCTAAGGTTTTCCGTGACGTGGCAACGAGAAGCCTTTTAAGGAACTGAGTCGGATTTCTTGCACTGATGTCGTTGTTTTAAGAAGTGGAAGAGGTTTAGTAGCCGACATGGACAACATAGAGAACATGTGCATTAAATTTGAGTCTCATCATTGAGATATTTCACAGAATTCGTTTGATATGTGGCCCTAGGTTTCTAGACAATAGAGTGACACTTCTTTCTATGACATTCAAGTGCACTCAAGTATCGTTGAATTTCTGAGGCGAGGTCTAATTGCTGCTTTCTTGCCTTTCCATTTTCTTTTATTCCGAATCCTTGATAGATTTGCCTCGCCTTTTTATTTAAGGGTCACTTGAGATTTCAAAACTCTTTTTGCCCTTTACACGATTTGTAAGCTCCTTTTCTTCTCCGCACAATGATTTTCTTTTTTGAATCTTGTCAACACTCATTTCTTCAATATTTTTCCCTTATTTGGATTATACATTCTCTGGTTCAACACTCCTTCTAGATTATCTCACATAACAATTATCTTTGTTTTCAATTTTGTCAAGTACCATTTTTCTCTTTTCTGTTTACAGTTCATTGCTATTCCATATTGCTTTAGATATGGCCAACATAGGAAATATACTCGTAAATGTGATAAATATACCTAGTAGCGATGATTCTTTTTCCGCTATTAGGATAGTGAACTGGGAAATGAGGAATGACCCTTTAGAAGTTAATCGGCCTATTTGAAACCTCATACATAGGGATAACTCTGGGGTTTGGAAGGATTTTGTAGAAGACTGTAGCAAACAATCTAATTTTCATTATGTTGGAGGTGTCATGGATCCTGATCCCCTTCTTCCTTTGTAGTCTCCTATAGATCTGGGACCTACTAAGGTTGCCCGAAACGAATGATTAACTTGTTATTTCATTAAATCTTTTAGGTCGACGCATTGTAGGGATGCCCCGATTATTTATTGAATTATTTTAATAAATTAATTATTTGATGTTGTATATTTTTATGCATTGATAAGCATGTTGTTTGTGATTTATTTGGTGCAATAAATGGGTTAATGATATTATGTGTGGGGTAATGTCGGATTAGAATAATAATGAGAATTTTTTAATATTTAAATAATTTAGTTGGAATTATTTGGATTTTAGAATAATTGTTTAGGATTTATTTAATAATTAAATTAGATAAAATGAATAGAAATAATAAGGGCAAGATGTTCATTGCTTGAGGTTTAGTGAGGGTAAGAATGGAAAACCATAATAGAGGTCTAAGGGTTAAGCTAGTAAAAGAGAAGAAGTGAGGTTGAGAACGATCACTCTGTACGATCAAATTTTGGAGAGAAGAGAATGTGAGAAGGTGAAGAGAGCTAGGGCAAGAAGATTTCATTATTGAAGCTTAGGAACCGTCAATCTAAGGTAAGGGTTAGGTTCCAAATCTCTAAGAGTTTGTATAATGATGATTGCGTAGGGGTAATCTACATATCACCATTGGTAGAGGTTTAGGTTTGGTTGGGGTTTTGTGATAATTTGTTGGCATGGTGAATTAGTGATAAAATTGATGAATTTAAAGTGCGTGATTCATATGAATTGGTGCATATAATATGTATGATGATGTGTTGTTATTGTGGCATGATAAAATATATTTTTTTGGTAGATTGGAAATTATACTGATGTGAAATCGTATGCATTTTTGGACTGGTTCTGTGCAGGAATCACAACAGCAATAATGATGTCATCCACGCTTCATCGGGCGAGCGTCTTGCGTCCCCGAGTGAGAGCATTTGCCCAAGCCTCGCAGGAAGAGAGAGCGGGAGAAGGAAATGACATAATTGGGTGCTTCTGTAAAATGCATGAGAGTGTTGGCTTCTCCTACAATTCGACGAGCGAGTCTCAGGCGATAGACCCAGACGTCGGGCGAGCCTCAGGCGAAGCAGAACTGTAGCAGAATCATTTTGAAAACTTTAAAAGTTCATAACTTTTGACTCAGGTGTCTGTTTGATGCACCGTTTGAACCTACAGAAATTTAAAAATATTTTTTATCTTATAAAAATACTTTTGAACCCAGAAGGTGATTGTTTGATGGGAGATTATGCTCTTCTGTATGCAATTATGTCTGTTATGTTGTGATATATGCATGTACTTATGTATGATAATATTGTGTGATGTTGTTTGGACTTTATGATTGGTATACTGTATGTGTGGGCAGATGGTGGTCGTATTGGTGTGTCACATTGATAGATGTAGATAATTATGTGTGTTGTTTTGTTGCATGATTGTGTCACATCCATTTCCTGTTAAGGACTTTGGTCCTATTTGTTAGATCTGATCTTAGATGGTGTTGATCAGGAGTGATGTGAACCTCATTGTTTATGATATGGGTTGGCTCTTATCCTATATGGTATAGATCAGAAGCAAGTTGAACCAAATTGTTCATGATATTGGGGGATTTGGTCCTAGTAACGTGGATTCAGGAGCGATATTGGTACCACATGCATTGAGTCTATGAGTCGGTCTCATCGCATTACATTGTTGTTAACATATTTTTGAGTTATGTGATTGACGTATGTACTACATGATGATTGTTGAGATATGCGATGAATATGCATGATTACATAGTTGTTATGTAATAAGATAGTTGATGTCGATGGTGTGAACATGTGAGATATGGAATCTATGACTATGCATGATTATGTTCTCTGTATACTTATTATTATACATTCTCTTATATTGTCGTGATATCTCACCCTTCTGTTGGAATGATGCTTTATACAACATCATGCAGATAATCAGGAGTAGTCTGAGGCTACAAGGATCAGAAAAGGATTCTCTTTGTTTACTTTCGAGTCAATGTCATTTCTCTGATACGTAACACCGGAGGGATGAATGCTTTATTGTTTTGTTTGATTTTAAATGATTTGTTCGAAGTGTTATGAACTCTTTAGATTTTGAATAAATGTTGGTTTATACTAGATGAGAAGTATTTGATATAAAATGTGATTCTTTTCCGTTGCTAAATAAAAATAAAGTTAAAGACCATGGTTGGTTATTTTGTTCATCCATAATTGAGTTATGTATCTGATATTTAGTATGGGCAGGTTTGTGTATGTTTGTGAAAGTGTAGCATCCTAAGAGCTTGTTAATTTTATTTAAAATTACTCTGATAATTATTTATTATTCGTCGGGTAGTTTGGGGTGTTACAAATGGCAACCAAAAATGACGGTAAATCTCCAAAAAAAAAAGTCTATCCGCAATGACTTCCGCAACATTATTTGGAAACATTTTAGAATATGAGACAGAATTTGGAAGACTAGAAAAGAATGAGAATCAAGTGATGAAATCCAAAAGCATTGCATTAAAGGTTGACTCCAAGGAAATTGAAAAGGGAGATAATCCGGAAGATGATGAGAATTTCATGATTTTTGTAAAAAGTTAAGTAAATTTGTTGGTAATTGAAATTCTGGTATTTAGATCTCAGATGTCCTAAGAGATGTCGATACACCGATCTCTGAACAACAAGACAATGAACAATTTCAAACAATAAACAATGCAGAAAAATAAAGGAACACACAGAGTTGTTAACTGAGTTTGGTTCATATAAACTTCTTCATCAATGTAACCTATTGTAAGCCCAAATTTGTCCTCCCTTTTCTTCAAGATATTTCTCACAAAAGTTCTCAAATGCTCAAAGATTCTCAAGAGCTGATCAGACAAACTCAGCTCATAAGCATTAGGTCCACAATTAGGGTTTTGGTTTTCTCAAGGAAAATTGGACTTATAATGCCTCAAGTGACTTTCATGGTTCATTATAGGTCTCCAAGAATGCTCATACCAAGTTATAAGCCTTACATCACAAATTTTCTCAGTCAATTGCTCAGATGACTGAAAATCAACAATATTGGGTAAAAAGTCAACTATGGTCAACATACAGTCAAACTTCAAGATTTTTTTGCCAACTGTTGTACCCCAATTTTCGCCCCTAAGATCCCTTCATCATACCATGTTGATTCACTCACAACAAGATAACACTAGGATTCTTGGTTCCCCTCCCTACATTTAATTTTTGCCTTTTTAAGGGATTACCAAGCACCTTGACTTATGTTCCTTTTGTGATCATGAATATTGTTTTGTTTAAATAATAAAATGCAATGTTGGTTTGTCTTGCTTGTTATCCATGTAGGTGTTGGCTCCTAAATTCGACACCTTTGTTTTGATTGATGTCAGCCATTAAAAGCTGAAA